TAAAAACCGTTGTAACTTGAGCTACAACAAAAATGAATGCATACGAAAATGGCGGCGTTGCTTCACTGTAAGACTGTTGCATGGTTGCCGGAAGAATGGTTATGAGCGTGGTTGCCAGAGTTTGGCACGTTCTAAAAATTTGGCGATTTTTACTGAGGTGGTTGAGTTAATATGTAAGTACTTAAATATAAATTTTAATGGCAGTTTGTACATTTCTTTTGCTTGTTAACAGCTGTCTAAGCGATTTTCAGTTACTGATGTTTTTCTGCTAGTGCATCTATCCGCAATATATTACTTAGCAGATGTAGAGCGCTTGCACGCCTTCTTCTATATTTTTATTAACTTTGGTTTGAATATAAAAATATAGCATATTGAAACAAGGCTAGGCAATCACTGAGAATTTTTTTTTACTCCAAAGTATTCTTTATTAGATTGAAAAAATAACGCCTCAGAGGACACATTTTCATAAAGGAATTTATCAAGATGTTAGTTCCCCTTTTTTTTCAGCAACGAAGTTATTCATTTTAATTTACTCTTCATAACTGATATTTTGTTTACCAGTTCTAGTTTGCCTATAAAGTTTTCCTCCCTCGTACCCTCATGCCTTTGTGGTGTAACTGGAAACACGCTTGACGCGTATTCGATAGGTCCGGGTGTGAGTCCTGGCGAGGCCACTGTGAATTTCTTCAATTTCCTGACTTCTAAAAATTATAAAAAAGATTTAATAAGTGGCGCCCGAACTAAAGGTGGTGGACGGTAATTGATTGTCAGCAAGATTTGGCGACTAGATCCCTTAATCCCCAGCCGCTCTTTAATAGGAGGAGTATATAAGGTATTTTGTTCCTCCTTTCCACACGCCTTCGTGGAATAACTGGAAGCCCTTTAAAAGGGGAAGTATATAGGGTATTTTCTCTCTCCTTTCTGATTGGTATAATTGGATACCCTCTAGAAGCGTATTCGAGAATTCCGGAGTTCGAATTGTGAAGACGCGGCTACATGCAAACCTCGCCAATGGCGACAATTTAGGAAACACATTTCCTCTTTGTTCTCTTCAGAAAATGTGCAGCGAAGTTCTGCATTTCTGTTGAAATTTTACAACACTTTGGCTGATTCCACAAGTTTATATTTTAAAACTAAGAAACATCACGATTTGTTTATAAAAACCGTTGGAACTTGGACTACAACAAAAAAGAATGCATACGAAAATGGCGGCCTTGCTTGACTGTAGGACTGAATGGCGGCCTTGCTTGACTGTAGGCGAAGGCATTGCGGATTTCTTAAGGACTCCAAAAAATTCTAAAAGAGAACCTATTACTGAAAAATTAGTTTTAAAATTTGAGTAACATTTGTAACGAAGTTTGATAGGAAAATGTACATTATTTTAGCTAGAATTTTTAATTTGTTCTCTTCTGATCTTCAACTCACACTTGAAGTCGAGCGGTAAAGTCGCTGAACACTGGTATTTCGATCCGAGGTTAACATCCCGCTAATGGGCTGTCTGCATGGGCATTTCGTAGTTTTTCCCATATGTATCATGTATACGAGCTAGTTTCCCGTAGAAAGTCCTCCGCGAAGGCATCCGTTCCCTTAGACATCATATAAACCAATTGATTTCTAGAAAAGTTCGATCTAACGGAAACCTTATCGAAATAAATATTCCATTCGTTTCTTGTAAAAGTATGATCATGAAAAGGAGAATTTCTTCCTAAAATTAGAATCATTGATTTCATTATAACAAACTTCTTTAAGAAAAGGGTTATCAAAATTTTGTAGGTCACCATCTGTCGAAAATAAATGAAAGTAATGTTTATAAGTGAATGTTTACGATACAGTTTTCAGAAATGCCTTTTTATTATTATTATTTTTTAAACAAAAGTTTCTTTTATAACATTCTTATCAGACAAGGACAAGAAGTTTATCAGAAGTAAACAAAACGTCAAGAGATCTTTGCGATAGCAGTTCTCTCAAAAGTGGTCTCGTGCATAAAATGCCTGTTCAAGAAATTGATTTGTTTTCTTTACAGTATTTTTAGGTAGCGTAAGCTACCATTTATAAAATAATTATTTTATTTAATTGTGCATCTAATTGCTAATTGAAATAGATTTTTTTTAGAATTGTTACGAAATTATCATTATAAGCAATGAAAAACTACTTTAAAATTGTGAGTTTTTTTCCTTAGCTTGTTGATAAAGAATTGCGCAAAGGATCGGATCTATGAAATTTACATTTTGGACTCAATAGTTTCAAAGAACTGCAAATCGAAAAGTTTTTAGCCCAAAGGGGTGTTAAAAAATCAGTCATCAAAAATCTTTCTTCAGACTACAAAGTGACTGTCTTGCAAGTGGTATTTTGTTAAGTTATTAGATATCCAGGTGACATGCGCAGTGCTTCATATTAGATGGGAATGCATATGCTGCCGATTTATGACATATATACGATGGCCCACACTTCATGTTGATGATGACAGACTATTTGTCTAAATAATCATAATCTCTGATTCTGTTGAGAGACCTACAGCTATAGCATTTGCAGTAATAGTTGCATTGTAAGGGTTTTCTCTCTTCTTACCACGTGCCTTCGTGGTTGGAAAGCAAATTCGGCTAGCAATCGAAAGGTTCCGAGTTCGAGTCCCGTGGAGAGCACGGCTAATTTTTTCCGTCTGTTGAGAAACCTAATGCTTTTACAAGTGGTTCTGTCTCCTGTTAGAGAAATCTAATGCCTTTACAAGTGGTTCCTTCTCCTAATAGAGAAATCTAATGACCCTACAAACGGTTTCATCTCCTGTTAGAGAAATCTAATGACCCTACAAGTGGTTCTGTCTCCTGTTGGAGAAACCTGATTACTCTAAAAGTGTCGACGTCTCCTGTTAGAGAAATCTATTGCCTTTACAAGTGGTTTCTTCTTCTATTAGTAAAATCTAATGACTCTACAAGTGTTTCCGTCTCCTGTTGGAGAAACCCGATAACTCTAAAAGTGTTTCCGTCTCCTGTTAGAGAAATCTACCGTCTTCTGTTGGAGAAACCTGATGACTGTAAAAGTGTTCATGTCTCCCGTTAGAGAAATCTATTGCCTTTACAAGTGGTTTCTTCTTCTATTAGAGAAATCTAATGACCCTACAAATAGTTTCATCTTCTGTTAGAGAAATCTAATTGACCGTACAAGTGGTTCCGTCTCCTGTTGGAGAAACCTGATGACTCTAAAAGTGTTTCCGTCTCCTGTTAGAGAAACCTGATGACCCTACAAGTAGTTCTGCCTTCTGTCGGAGAAACCTGATGACTCTAAAAGTGTTTCCGTCTCCTATTAGAGAAATCTAATGACTCTAAAAGTGTTTCCGTCTCCTGTTGGAGAAACCTGATAACTCTAAAAGTGTTTCCGTCTCCTGTTACAGAAATCTAATGACTCTACAAGTGGTTCTGTCTTCTGTTAGAGAAACCTGAGGACTTTACAAGTGTTTTCGTCTCCTGTTAGAGAAATCTGACGACTCTACAAGTAGTTCCGTCTCCTCTTAGAGAAATTTAATGACTATACAAGTGGCTAAAAGGTGATGGAATATAATTCACCAAGGCCAACATTCGGCGCTTCTGTCCTCTCCTCTCCAGTCACTCTTCAAGCGCGGGGAGGCCGTAGAGTTTTCCCCTCTCCTTACCACGTGTTTTCGTGATGTAAGTGGAAAGCACACTCCGCTAGCAATCAGAAGGTCCAGAATTCGACTCCTAGCGAAGGCACTGTTCATATTTCATGTCTCCTCTTTCGACACATCTTATGACTCTGGACTATTACATATCATGCAGTGTAATATCATAATCATCTTGTCTTCATTTGCAGTATGTAAGCGATATTGTCTATGGAGCCACTGATGATTTTCTTGAGATCTTCTCTAAATGTTATTTATACCATATCTAACGGTCAGGCTGTAAGTTGCCGATGAACCTCTTACGTATAATACCAACAATATGGCTTGCTTTTTACTTCCTTGTACAAAGTAAAGGAAGCACTGTAATTGCGAAATATTTAAGGTTCATATTTCAACGAAAATATCCATTCTGACCGCTCTCGAATCCATTTGAACGATGTTTTTGCGTGACATATGTACGTACGAACAGAATAAATGTACCGGATTGTAAAATGGATTTAAAGCGAACTCAGAAGAAATATTCTGCGTGACGTCTGTACGTAAAATACGCACGTATCTCGCATAACTCAAACACGAATAGCTACAGAACGTCGAAATTTTATATGTGGGGTTGCTATAACATGTAATTGTGCACCTCCTGTTTGGGTTGCAATCTTCTTAACCAAACGTATATAAATATGTATGTATACTCATTGTATTACCCGGCTCGGTTGGCTTAGTTTTTTTATTCTTGTATGCGTGGTAAACTGTGCATATTTTGCTTTAAAAGTGTTTTAATTATACTGTCTAGGCTTTTATGTCGTTAGTTCATCTGAATGCAACAGTTGTAAAATTATCAACAATTTAAATTTTTAAGCGGGGCTAAGCCTAATAAAGCCGCCATTTGTTTACATTTGAAATTCTCAGTGGAACAGTGAATTAAGATAATTTGTGCACCAACTTCAGTGCCTTTTGGGGGAGTGGTACCCAAAGTAAACTTTCAATTTCATGCACCGAAAAATCTGTTTTTCTGCCCGCTGGCCGAATGGCTTGTTTTCATAAATTCTTTCATGTGATTCAGTAGCATTACAGATTTCTTTCGTGACACTATTGCCATATGTGCACTATGATGATTTCTTTAAAGTATGATATAAGTTTAATTATTTAAATAAATAATGCATTTAGTGAAATTATATCTGTTCTGAACAGAAAGAGCCACACTTTTGTATTTCGAAATTCAGTAATTTTTTCCATTTACAATATGCGTCAAATAAAAGGTTTTATTAATTATTAATACAATATGCGTCAAATAAAAGGTTTTATTTATTAATTAAGCGTATAGTTCAACTCTTGAGTTAATTCCTTTTTCTGTTATTTATTTTTCCAGGCTAAAGAGATCAAATCCAAAGAACAGAATGTGCTGTACCTGAATGGAGGCGACTTCTATCAAGGAACTGTCTGGTACACTCTGCATCGATGGCATATCGTTGCGGAAATGGTGAATCAACTCATGATCGATGTCATGGTCAGGTTACATGCATTTGTTTTTTCTTTCAAACTGAACCCGTAAATTGATTATCGTCATAGTTCTACAGATATTATATAATTTTCAAAATATTGATAACGAAAATAATATAAATTAGAATAAGAAAAATCTTGAAATCTTTGCAACAGCGTTATTTGCTACAAATTCATAACTGAAATGTATTCGCAGGCCGAATAAAATTGCCTCCGGGGCTGACAGTTTGAGATCATATACTTATAGAGGTATGACTCGTGTACTGTTTCCACAAAAGCCCTATCCGGCCTCTATTTTCGCAACCGCTCGTCTTACATGTTTGCATTCAGTTTATAAGGTATTTCTCCCGCCTTCTTGGCATGCCTGTGTGGTGTGGTGGTCTGCACGCTGGGAGCATATTCCAGAGGTCTGCGGTTCGATTCCCGGCGAAGGCGTTGCTAATTTTTCGTCTTACCTGCTTCTAAAAAATAATCTAATATCTCTACAGTGGCGCCTGAACTAAAAGGGTGTTGGATGATGATTCTCCATAACCAGGATTTGGCGATCGGGTCCCCTAAAAACCCCCAGTCGCCCTTTAACACAGGGAGTATATAAGGTATTTCTCTCGCCTTTTTGGCGTGCCTTCGTGGTGTGGTGGTCTGTACACTGGCCGCGTATTCCAGAGGTCCGCGGTTCTATTCCCGGCGAAGGCGTTGCTAATTTTTCATCTTTCCTGCTTCCAAAATACCTAATGTCTCTACAAGTTGTAAAAATGTTTTAAATGATTCAAAGGTTAATGATTCGACATTTTATAAATTTAAAGAAATTAGTTTTGTAAATTTATGAAACCTAAATTTTTTATGTATTAATCTGGTCCCTATACTTACGTTTAGAAAAATTTTGCACTTCTCATAAAAAATAAAAAGAAAAGTGTTTGGCTTGCGTACGTCAGAAAGTGACTAAGCTATTTGGTATAGAAATAGGAAGTAATATTCAGAGCTGTGAATATTACTTCCGATTGAAAAGCAAAATATTTGCAATAAAAATTGAAAAGCAAAATATTTGCATTTGTACGTTACTGAAAACAAAGTATTCTTTAAATTATCGGACTTCAGCCCGTGGCCCGCTGAAGGTATTTTAGTGGCCCCACATTTAAATTTGAAGAAAAATTGAAAAATTTTTTAGAAATTTTGATTTCAAGAAAAATCGTCTTATCAGTTTTTTTGTCGTAAAAAAACTTTTTTGCTCTCTTATTCTTGATATTTAAAACATTTTATTGGCATGCCTGATATTATTTGGGATAACATTTTCTGAAAATGACGAATTTTTCAAAAATTTCACTTTATCTTATGTAATTTATCTTATGTAATATGTGTTCCATCTGAACTTCAGTTAGAATTTATAGATTTACAGTGTGACTCTGCAGTAAAATGCAAGTTTCTTGAAAATCCTACATTAATTGATTTTTAGTCGAAGTACGTGACCGAAGACAAGTATCCTGGAATTCGTAAACATGCACTCTTTCATGTCTTCTGTATTTGGCACTGCCCACATATGTGAACAGCTTTCAGTAAAATAAAACCCTAAAATCAAAAACAAGAACACGGCTGACAGACAGACATTTGGAAGAAACTTCTACGAACTGCAACAACATAGATTAAACCGGATATTAAGCTTTAATCAAGCAAAAACGATGTCAAATTTCATATTGAAACTAAAAGAATTACCATCTCTCCCCAGTTATGTTAGTTTTACAATTTTTTTTATTGTAAATGTGTTTTGCAACATCTTTATACTTTTTTTTCATAGTTAAAAAACGTTGCAAAACATTTTAATTCGATTTCTGTTTGACTTTTTGGAGCCAATGTATACATATAAAAATCTGTAACACTATCTGTTCGCTTAGAATCAATTGTAGTCTTGCAAAACAAACCTTCCTCTTTTACATAAATTTTCTGACTGCTCTATTTTTTGACAGATACGTGGCCTGCGGATCTTTATGAATTTATTGATGTGACTCTCGGGGGGAAAGGTTAAAGACCCCCTACTTTAAATAAAGGTTTCTAATATCAAGAGATTATATGAAGAGCATTTATATGTAAATTATTGTGAAAAATATTGATTAAACACAATTTTTTTTCTCTGTACGAAATAAAGGAAGTATTATAATTGCGAAATATTTCGGGTCTTGTGTTTCAACAGGAATATCCATCTTGACCGCTCTAGAAACCATTTGAAAGTTTTTTTTGCTTTACATCTGTACGTACGGACAGAATAAAAGATCTTGTTTCGAAAATGGACTGTAATATCAATTTAGAATAGATTCAGAAGGGATTCTTTCATGACTTCTGTATGTACATATGCATGTATCTAGCATAACTTATAAACGATTAGACTCAGTGTGTTGAAATTCTGTGTATGGAACGAAGCTAGCTGGTGTACCAACTTCAGCGTTGCTCTGCCCAGTGGGACCAAAATTTAACTTAAATTTGGGTGCACCAAAAATTTCGTCTTCTGGCCCCTTGACTGAATTGCTTGTTTTCCTGTAGAAACTCTAATTTTATTTGCAAAAATTGTTTCTAAGCCTGCTTTTAACAGGAATTGGGGTTTTAAGTTCTGCTGTATTCCACATTTTTTAAGGAAAATGTTCTGGGTTTTTATACATTTTTGCTTTACCGCGAAGTGAGAACTGAGAAATATATCTCTAATAAAATTCGAGGAAATAGATTTAAACGAAGTGCAGCAGAAATGTGCATAATTTAATAGGCCATACAAAGAAGAGATGTGGTGTCTCCGTCACTCTTTTTTTTAATGGAGATCTTATTCACAGAACCTTAAAAAAATCCGTGTTCTAGAAGAACTGGCAAGAGTTCAGAATTGGCACATAGCCAACTAATAACTCTTTGTATTAAGTAAAAATGAAAAATATATGTACCTCAGTGACTTTTTTACGTTTACCAGATTATCATTCTAAAATAATGAGAATGTTATGAGCATATGTTATGAGCATATTAAGAATGTAACTTTACACTTTGTGTAAATTACTTGTGCGAGAATATTTCTGCAAACAAAATGTAACAAATTATAAATAAAGTAATCGCAAAAGAATATCATTCAATGGCATTTAAGGAAAAAATATCAATCTCAGTTTATCCTAATTTATATGAAGTCTGAAATGACAAATTTTGGAATTTAGCATCTCGGTCAGTACTGGTCGAATGGGAATAAACGATTTGTATTTTACTTTTTATAAGGAGTAAAACATTTTCCTAAATGTAACTATAGAGAACAGAGAAACATATAAAAAAATTAAATTCTTTAATTTTTATAAAATTCACTTCTTTAGATGTAAAAAAGACCTAAAAATGAATCTTTTCGTCATTTAAGTCCATTTGCGTAACCGGAAGCGTTTCTGTATGACCAAATAAATGCCTGGTAATGACTTTTGTGGACATGCCGTAGATTGGTTTTAGTGATTTGGTGAAACCTAAAATGCTATCGAATCTCTTTAACCCTTCATGTAAAAAGAAAAAAAAATATTGTAGTTTATAATTAAAGCAAATTATCATATCTGCGTTTGACAAGAACAAATTTAAAAGTGCTAAAAACATTACAAGCTTGGAACTCAGGGCTGGCAAGATGGAAAATAATGATCCAGAACCTAATGAAGTTTCAACGTTTGTGTTCCTTTTGAACGAACGCTTTTATTATACGTCAACAAAACGAATCGTTACAAAGTTTTGAGTTAACCCTTTCGGTTCTGTTGGTGGCGTATGTCACCTTTTCGGCTGTTTATTGGTGCTGGTATTTTCCGCGTGGCCACCCCATTTTGTGGCTTTTAACCAATGGACTTCTGCCTGGTCACCTTAGAACAGCGGTCGTCAATCCTTAGAACTTCACGGACCTTGTACATATATAATTTTATATTTGGCAGCCAACTAATATGAATTAAAAAAACTTAAATCAGATCTTAAATCTGAAGAATTTACAACATCGATTAAATGCATTAAATTATTTTCATATTATGCAATATTTAACAACATATTAATAGGAAAAAACAATATTCAACTTTCCAATACATGTAATTCTAATTTTCATTTGTTAATATAATTTTCGAAACATTTGGCTTTCACCATGCCTTTATGGAAATTCAGACTACGCCCCTGATTATGAGAAACAATTAAAACACTATTAATATTTCACTGATACACATATTTCGTTCACATTGAAAAATTATATGAAAAGTACAAAAATCTTGTCTTCTTTTACAGAAAGCTTCACATTTCCATCTCACCGAAAAGGAACTTCACGAAAAGCAAGAACAAACCGGCAAACGCAAAGTAATATCAATAAACTGAGAGTGTCATGCCGCCAATTTTTAATTATTGTAAACATAATAATTATCGCTTGCTCAGCGGCGCCATCGATCAACAGTTAGATAAAACAAAAATAGAAACTTCCAGTGATGCAATTATAAGCAAGAATGCAGATGGTTTTCCTGAAAATCCATCAAGTTGTGTATTGACACGGAGAAAAACTGTTATTAATGACTACAATAGCATATGTTTGTAATTCAAAAGGAAAAAGAATTCCAGTTCGCGCTATTATTGATAACAGCAGCGTATCTATGGATGCCAATTCTCACTTTCAAATGTTGCTAGATACATTTATAAAAGTCGCTAAATAGGAATTTCGCAAAAAGTAGCAGCTAAAATTAAAAAAAAAGTATAATCCATATTCCATAATAGGTTTTTTTACTCGCCATTTTTTAAACTGAATCTTCATAAAAATATAAATGATATCCCAATTTTTCTGCGGACCATCAAAAAGTTTTCACGGACCACTGCCTTAGAGGACTAATTTATTGGTAGTAGAGACTGTTTTAGTATTCACCACAAGGGGTTTTAACTGGGGGCTTGTTCGAAAGTTTTTATCTTGAGAAAGACCTGATAACAGGCTGTTGCCAACGACAAGCCTAATCTTGCGCTCCTTGCCACGAAGAATTTCGTGGGCTTGGGCTGATGTTA